TCTGTTAAAAAATATGCTAGTTTTTGCAACAATGGCAAATAAATTAGCGATTGGCAACTAACACTCAGAAGATCTGCTTCTCCCTTCTAGCAAATTAGACATACTATGGTTTTGAAATGAAACATTTCTAACATAATACTATCGAGCTATTTGTATCTCTTCCTAAGTGCCAGTAATTTATATTCTAAATGGATTAAGACACTTTTTGCTTGCTCATTTTCAGTTATTGTTGAATGCAAAATAATGTAACTTCAAATACTTGGGAGTAATATACTGGAAACAGTTTTGATGCTGCAGCCAGGTGAAACTAACCATTCTGAAATAATGTACAACACAAATTTTACATTCAGGATTATTTGCTTTGCAGACACCTTTAAATAGGTAAGGTGACTGATAGTTGGCCACTACTGCATGATCTTAAGCATTTGCATTAAACTAAATGCATCGATCCCTTTTCATTTCTGAAACTGTGCGGACGTCCCAGTCAGTATCTGGACCAAAACGTTACTGTACCATGTATGGTGATGACAGCTAATTGAACAGTTTTCCTTTAACTTTCATGTCCCGTATCTGTCATTAAATCAATCCAAAATGGGCTGTTGTACTCGGCACTGTGCACTTTGTTATGTAATGCATACTGACAGAAGCAAAGACATTCGAATACATCTCTTAATCTGTAAATATGAAAAAAAAAAACGGAACTTAAATTATATACTGTCAGAGTACATGACAGCAGGTAAGCGGCAACATAAAGATCTGGAGATGCCAGTGGACATTGAAGTTGAGGGTCTTTAAGACCACAGAAGATCTTTACAGAGTGATGTACAAATCTGATGCCAGCATTCAGGTCAGGGAACCATGTTGAAACCATGGGCTCATTTAAGTAGTAGACTTCTTATTGCATTAAACTACAAGGAACCAAACAAGGCAGGTGGGTCAGTTAGCTTCTTCTCATGAATAGCCTTAAGTTCTCAAGTTCTTTTGTTCACATTGAAAATAAAATCTTGCTTAGTTTTTACTGCTCTTTTTTTTCCTCCCCCATTATATATTTCTATACATAGGAATTCAGACTAATCCATTTTTTTTATCAAGTGCCACTGTACAATCACTGTATTTTGAATTGTCTGCTAGTCTAAGGTAATCTGAATTTGAAAAAGTAACACTGCATTCTTCCAACAAAATGCTTCAACAGTAAATATAAAAACAGCATAAATAAAATTTTAATTCACCGCAAATCAAGAACATTAAATTTCTTCATTTATGTATTCATATCCCACAATACAAGTTTTTAATATTTTCCAGTACATGAAACGAGATGTTTTCACATTGAGTACAGGACTATGTGGGTGTTTAGCCAGTCTCACCCTATTTTAGGGAACAAATAGTCTTAAATGTGGGTTGGGGGTGGGTTGCTTCCAAATTGTATAATGCCAAGGGATGCTTTCTGCTAGTCAGCAGACATCTTTATCTGATAACAGCAAAATTTAGAGGACTTCACATACATAAGACACACACACACAAATGTTAAGTAGAATATTAAAATTTAATTATGATCCTCTGCCGTAAAGTATTACCATTTTGTAGGTAGTGGCAAATGGTCAGGCTTATTATGCAAATGAAAATATAAGGGTGAAAACATAAAATCAAAATGTTAAAGCCAGTAAACACCTACCCCCCACAAAAAATGCACATTATACAGAAGCAATAATTTACAACTATGTTAACACAGCAAGGAATGCACTCGCTGCCTTTTTTAAGGGGCAGCGACTTAATGGATATTAATAAAAAGAAATTGTGAGTTTTTCCCCCCAAAAGGGAAAGCTAAAGAAAAGCAGAAAAAATAAGCTTAAAAATCATTTTGATAAACTATTATTTTAAGCCACAAGACCATCCACATACCTTACCTGGAGTCACAAGCATAACTTACACAAATATGTGGCTTGACTGTTTTGAAAAAAGACTGCATCTGACATGAATTAGAAACTCTTGTGATGTGATGAGCTCTCTTGAATTTTCACAGTGACGTACGAGCTGTATTCTAGATCATTGTGCATTGTCACTGGAATGCACAGAAGGATATAGGATATAGGAAATGAGAAGGGTTTATCTTAGCGCTCCTAGCATTCACAATTACACAAAAGATTTTTAACCCTAAATCATCAAAGTCAAATTAGGAAAACCACAAGATCAATTCACTCATTAAGAGATCTTGGATGACAAAACCAAAACTAGATGATACTGGACTGGGGCCAAGTTCATGCAAATAAAACAAGGATTTTAGGCTTTAGGGTCTAGTGCTACTGCTACTATAATGGCCACCAACATATCAAAAGTGAGAAATTACATACTGTTTTAGATGCAGATGCATGGTATACATTTTTATGACAGCACCTTCACAAGTGAAGAATAGTAAAATAAATGCACTTAAAAAAGTAACAAATGGCAGCCTTCCTTGTTAATAAATTGGGTTTACATGTATCAACACAATATAGCCAACTGATCATAAATGGATCAAAAGAACACACTACATTGTGATTTGAATCATCAATACGACTAATAATAATATTAATGCCAAAAATATTGTAAGTTAGGCTTTGCAACGCCCTTTCTATTTCCTTTTCTTATTCAACTAAATCAACCTCCTAACATTTGGTCCCTCTTGTTTAAAATGGTTTTGTAGTACACTCCCATAAACATTTCAGTTTATCTGTAGTCTTTTGCCAACCCCACAGAAAACAATGCACCAAGAACATGAAAGACTGTTTAACACATTGTGTTAAAACAGACCTTCCAGCAAGTGAAGGATTGCTGACTTTCTTAAGCATCTTGCATCCTCTTTTTAAAGAACTAGCTTTGAAATGGCAGATATCTTTACTGTAGGCCCCCAACCCAGTGTGATGAAAGATTTAAAGACTGTCCTCCTTAAATACACCCCTTGGTCCTGTACACTGTAAAGGAGGGAGGTCACAATGAGTTATACAGATTACCTCCCTGAACACGTTGTAACATCCAGATGGTACACAATGGAAAGCAAGGTGGTACAAGGAACTGGTCTGTAATACAGACTGGACATGCATTTCTAAAATGCAAACCTTTTTTTCTCCCCCCACCCTCCCCCTTTTCTTAAAAAGGAAACAAACAAAACAACAGAAAAAACAAAAACCCCTTTAGCCAGTAGTTTGTTGTTTGCTCCCCCCTGTAAACTATACATAAACACCCCATTTTTTAGTAAGTCACAGCTGTGTGGCATTATAGACAACGGAAGAAACTATGGTACATTCGATTCATTATAAAGTCTTTTGCGTTTTTTTGGTGCTTTTTCCCCATTTCTTTAAAAAATACAAAAAGAAAAAACGAACAGGTGACAGTCCACTGTCCTGCAGAGGCTGCTGATTTTTAATCTTTAAATTTCACCTAGTTTTATTTGTTAACTACCAGTTTCTTTAGGTCTTAAACTCCCTGCGTAGATCTCTTACTCGGCATGGATCTCTGCTTCGGGCCTCTGCAGGGACAACTCTGTCTGAATGAAGGCGCCCTGCCCCAGGGCGGTAGAGTATGTCCTGCTATTGTGGGAGGGTGCAAAACTAGGAGGGGCGAAGCTGCCAGCACCCACCACGAGGGTGCTGCCCCCTCGGGTGGGCACAGCAGCTGGCTGTGTTTGGGGCTGAGGTAAAGGATGATAGTCATCCAAGTTATCGTACTGGGACAGCACGGTCATGGTGCTGTGCCGCTTGCCGTGCGGCTGGTAAGTGTATGACACTCCATGGTCCCTATCTGCGTTGTCCTGGAGATGAGGAGCAGGGTTGGGGGGGTGATGGTAGTGCGGATGAGATCCTCGGAGGCTGTGAGAGCGCTCGGGCTTGGAAGGGGCCACAGGTTTCACAGGGACCACCTGTGGATCTTCCTCTGGGTAGCCGCCAGTGGTTTTGATCCTCACCATGTGCCTGTCTTGCTCAGGCCGCTCGTAGCGGGACTGGTAGCTTCTGGCCTCCGGGTGCTCCTGCCAGTGCCTACTGCTGTTGCTGCTACCGCCGCCGCCCATTTGGTCGTATTCCCCTTGCCCATTCTTGGGATCTGGGCGATTCAACTCTTGCTGCTGCTGCTGCTGCTGCTGCTGTTGCTGGGGAAGACTGCGCTGTGGTGGCTGTGGCTGATGTGGATGGTGCTGCAAGGTCTGGACATTCCTGGGCCCACTCTGCTTCTGTGGGACAGCCGTCTTGTCACTCAGTCCGTTGCCCTGGTAGTGCTTTTCGAGCTCAACACACGAGAGGACCTCGTTGTCGGACAGAGGGTGCCGCAGGGAATGCTGCGTCGCCATTGGCCCGCTGTACCGGCTGTCCTTCGCCTCTGCAGCCATCAGCACGGCTTTTCCGGGGTCTGACTTGCTTCGGAGGTGCAGGATCTCCACACCCCCCAGATCCCCTTGCAGGACCGGGCCCACGTTATCGTACTGCGACATCACCGGCGCCTTGGCCTTCTGCCGCGCTCTGCTCTCGCGCCGAATGGAGTGCATGCGAAGCTTCTCGGCTTCCTCTGGGTCCCAGGCCAGATAGACGGGCCCTCCCTTGACATCAGGAGACGGGGGCATGTCGCGACTTACAAAGCTGTGCTCTTTTCCTGGCGGCACAATATGCCTCGACAGGTAGTGGTAGCCCGATTTTCCACCCACCCTGCCTAAGTGCGGGGCCAGGTCACGGCTGGTGAGGGAGTGAAAGTGCCGCAGCCGAATGGTGCCGTAAGGGTCCACATCATAATAGGGTGCATCCAGAGGGTTAGCACCCGAATACGGGCTGTAGCGATAGTGCACCCGCCCATTCTCGAAATAGGGCTGCAGCTGGGTGACGTGGTAGTCTGACTGCGACGTCTGTGTGTAGGGTTTGTACTGGTAGACCGGGCGCTGGTAATAGAAAAGTTCGTCATCTGGGGGGACCTCGGTCCGGGAGATGGGCACCGAGCGGACAGCCGTCGGTGGCGCGTGGAGAGAGTGAACTCTACGGATCGTCGGGTACGCCGCCGCCCCATCGCCGGGAGAGTAACCCAGCCCGCGATGGCCCGAGGGTCCTGCCGCGGGGCTGTATTCTGCCCTGTGCGGAACCCGCGACTTGATGGACTGATGGAAGGACTTGGGACCCAGAGTGCTGTAGCGACCATCCGCCCGAGCGCTGTAGAGGACCTGGGGCTCTGGCTTGGAAGGGTAGGATAAGTGCGGCGGCACGCTCTCCGGCCGGTAGTGATACGGCGCGGAGGGCTGGCCGGTGGCGGCGGCGGCGGCGCGGTGATGGTAATAACCTTCCCCGACAGGCTCTGGGGCGGCCTCCGGTTTCGAGTGGTAGAGATAGACCTGCTGGAGGGCAGACGATTTCCGGGGGGGGGGCGGCGGCTGCGGCAGGGCTTCCTCCACCGAGGCCGGCATGGAGGCCTCCGTCAGGATGGTGTGAAAGTTGGAGGCGTTGGCGGCTTCGGTGCCGGAGAGGGCGGCGGCGGCCAGCCTGCTCTCGATGGAGCGCACGGGCGGGGCGGGCGGGGGGGGGCCACAGGAGTGATACAGAGGAAGGGACTCTGCCCGAGGGTGAGGGGCGGGGGGCTTGGCCGTCTCCCGAGACTTCTCCGCGGGGTGGGGGGGCCCGGGCGGGGCAGGGACTGAGCGGGCAGCCGGGGGGGTGGAGTGGGGCTGGGTCGCCTGGGCCGGAAGGTCAGCATGCTTTAGCTGAGGCTGAGGAGGAATCCCTCCTGCTGTCTGCATCTAGGAAGCAAAAGAGAACAAGACGCCTGTTACGTACACCGAGACCCGTTTAAGAAAGCAGGTTGGTTTCTACATTTGACCAATGTGAGTGAAGGTGAGGTGAGGCCAATTCAGATGCTGACATGGTATGAAGATTTGAAAGATTTATGCATCTAAAAGACAGGGCTGGGTATTCTGTTCTAACAAAACTGATGCTTTAATCCGATTAAAGCAGATGCTTTAACCTTTAATCTGATGCTTCTGATGCTTTAAAGGGAATGTTTTCTTTTTTGTGATATATCTGCATTACTTTCAGAAATGCCATCAGGAGGAAGAAACAAGCAGAGAACCCAACAAGCCGCAGTTTACGAAGGCACTTTGAAGATTGGAATTCAATTGGCATTTCCATTTCTGTTCACCTTAGAAAGTTTCGGCCGGCAAGGGAATAAACCTAAAAAGAAAACGTGCAACGACCCACTATCGGTTTGAAAAGTTTGTTTCAGTCATTGGGGAAAAAAACCAAACAATCAAAGGTTTCTCTTATAAAGGCATCGACAAAGGCACTGCGGGTTCATGCCTGGATCAGGTCACCAGCCGACTGGAACTGCAGCAGGAGGGCAGAACCAGCACCTCCCAGGTGCTTACTGAGGGACACACCTTCCCTCCAAGCGGCACCGAACCTCCGGCACGAGGCTGTGGTGCCTGGGACATGCTAAGGTTGGAAGGCTGGTGGGTCACTTCCTCATTCTCCCAGGTGTGGTTGTGTGGTTTGTAGCTGCGATCCAAGACGTGAAAAGCCCCCAACTGGCGAGTCCCAAATTGCGCGTGTATAGAAAGGAACAAAGCGTCTTTAGCTTCCTTCCTATTCTGCAATGTTTTCATAACCTTCTGCCCTCCAACACCTCTGATTTAGCCGCGCTCGTGTTAACGGACAAATCTCCATATTACAAGTGCTGTCCTCCATTACCTGCGGTGACAGCGTGGGAACTTCCTTGACGGCAGAGCCCGTGGTGGGGGCTGGGCTGCTGGTCCCCGGCACTTGGCCCATCGCAGGCTGCGGTCTCTCGGGGCTCCTGTGCGAGGGTGCCGCGGTGGCAGGGGGGCCGGGGGGCGCGGCAGGCTGGCTGGGCGTCGTCGAGACGGCGGCTGTGACACCGTCACGGCCTTGGCTGGCAGGGGACACGCTAGGCAGGTCGGCGCCGTGGGCAGTGCCAGAGCTCACGCCGGGGGCCGCGGCCTGGCTCTCCGTGGGCGTGCCGGCGAGGGCGGAAGAGGAGGCCGGCGCTGGAGGCGCGGCCCTCTCCGGCGGGTCGGCGGCAGCGTGGGACTGAAGGGGCGGCGGGGGAGGCCACTCGATGATGTCCAGTGGTTCCGGCACCCTGGGAGGGGAGGTGGGTGTCGGGGGCTCAGAGGGCCTCCTCTGGGACTGTATGGAGGCCTGCTGCGCGGACTCGGCCAGGGCCAGGGCAAGCATGCGGGCAGCGTTCTTCGGAGGGGGAGGGGGGGGGAGGAGGGTGACCGCGCTGACGGGGGCAGGGCCCTGCGGAGAGTCCAGAGCTACGGCTCCTGGAGGAGGACAAAACAGAGGGGGCTGAAGGTCAGGAGAGTGAAGGAAAGGCAAGCTGGTCTTCCAGAAAGGAGAGGCGACGGGGAAAAAAAAAAAATGAGCGCTTGGGTCTCGGTCTCGTTCATTTCCTAAAGAAGGGGTTCTGAAATCCCACCAGCCTGCCTAAGAAGAAATACCAGAAAATGCCAAACATACGGTAAAGGGTGAAAAACAACATGAACTGTGGATATTTTAAAACAGGAAGAAATATAATGAACTGCAGTTTTTAAACAGTATGTAAAAAAGCTTAAAATCACAGCCTTTACTTGTGTAAGAGTATAAAAAAACAAGAGGACAAGCAGAAACTAATTCCATACCAAAAAGTCTAAAACAAAAATGGCTGAAGAGCTTTATTTGGGTTATTTCTTTTTACTTTTCAGTGTGGAGTTAACCTCTTGTGGTTCCTTTGCTGTTCTCAGGCTGGCACAGTTCCTCGCTCTGAAATCTAAAAGTTTGCAGGCACGGGGCACTAGGGAGGACTGCAGTACAGTCTGTGAAAGGACATGCGTTGTAAATAAGATTTGATTTGAAAAGATCCAAAGAGTTGAAAAATTCCAACACCCGTGTTAAAATACATCCATGTTTCATTATTGAATATTATTGAAATTTTGGAAGAGCATTTCAGATAACAGTGAAGTGAGTTTGGTTCTAACTGAGGAAATCCTGAGAGGCTGCAACTGAATCTACCTTTGACTCATCACACAGCTCGACTGACGAATGATTAAAGATGAACCGAATGATTTAGCAGAGTAATTTCCAAATTGTAACCAGCTGGCTGAGCTCATTCTTTCACCCTGGACTCCTGTGGGAATAATGCATGCTTTTAACCACCCACCTCCAGACAAGAAAGGACATGAAATTCGAATTTGCCATTAAATCTGCAAGAAATGGGCTATAATAAAAATAGGCGAACAAGACTAATTTATTTTATTAATTTCCTGAGCTTAGAAAGCAAGCACTGCTGTTCCAAAATGCCTTTGACTACATGTTCCCTGCCCGTAATTCTTACCACAGCTTCATTGTTGTCAATTACACTGCACTCTTTTCATGAATATTAATCTTATTTCTTTGTCTGTTCTGTCGACATCACTTTCCTGGTGACACGAGCATGAATCACAAAAATGCACCATTTCCAATGTAACTGAATTTTTCTTCAATGTATTTTTTGCTTTCTTAAGTTACAAGCTGCGTGAAATTCAGAAAAGAAAGTATTTTCCACCACGCATGATCAATATCAGCCCTGATTTTGGACTTCTGCAGGTCCTGTGGCTTTGAGGAAATTTATGTCTTTTAAGACGTTCAATACACTGGGTCTGAACTTTAAAAAAGCTCCTCAAACATTTTAGTTATGAGACAACTGCCTGCTTTCAGTAGAATTTAAATGCCTTGTGTCATAGTGTGCTTGCTTGTGATTGCATGAAGCTCTTTCCAGAATTATTTACTGCATCTGTGTTTGGAGAAAATTGTTTAAATAGCTGTAATATAAATACTTTTAATCTAAATGATCAACATAAAAAAGTACTGTGTTGAAGACCACTTTAAAACCCGAGTAAAAAGTTAAAAATTCAGAAAACTGAAACAGTCCGTAATTTTGATGCACTTGCTAACTGTTTCCATCAAGCTGGACATGGAGTCTTCACTCTGCACCACGAAGTGAAATATTTAGAAAACACTCAGAATAGTTTTTCGCAGGTCGAGTTGACGGAGTCGCCATCACTCTCTTCGTTCAACAACTCACCGCCAGAGGGCGGCATAGTCCACCAGTACTCCACACTCCCAATTCATTTCATAGCTCTATGCCCCCCCCAGAAAACCAGAAAACCCCCCACTGACCTGGCTGGGCGTGACTGCAGGCGGCCGGCTTGGCCTGCTCGGGTCGGTCTGTGATGGCCGAGCTCCGGGCCTCTGAGGCACAAGGGGCGGAGAGCTTGCTGGGGACGTCCGGCTGGCAGCCCCCCGCGGGACGCGGCTCGCCGCTCTTCAGCGGCATGGGGGGCGGGGAGGAGCGGCCCAGACCCTGCGAGATGGGGGGCGGGGAGGGGGGGAGCCCCCCGATGATTTCGGAGACCCGGCTGGGCACCGAGATGGCCACGGGCTCAGAAATCGTCAGCGGCGGGGGCGGCTTGGCGCACCTGCGACCGATTTTGGGGGAGAGGGCGTGGGCCACCTTTTCGGCAAAGGTGGAGGGAGGGGAGGAGGAGGAGGAGGTGGGGGGGTATTTCTTGCCCCCCGCCCTGTCCTCCAGCGCTGGGCTGAGGTCCGGCGAGAGGAACGGGCTTGTGAATTTCTCTGGGGAAGGCGACATGGGCTCTGATCCACTGGCGCTGCCAGGGCTCCTCCCCAGTCCCGCCACGTCCCCCGCCTCCGGTGAGGGGAGGACAGGCTGCGGGGGGCTGCACTGGAAGGACATGGGGTCAAAGTCCAGGGTGGCCATGCCGATGTCCGGGGGGCTCAGGTCCACGTCCTCGGTGGAGCGCGGTGGAGAGATGAGAGCCGGGACCCGGACGGGCCCCTCGTCCCCGTCGCTGTCCTCCTGGGGGACATTGTCGTAGGAGTTGCAGTGGTGCCGGCTATCCAGCAGGTCTCCGTTGAAGGATGTGGAGAGAGCGTCGCTGCTGGACCTCGGCCTGCGGGGCCTGTAGACCTTCGCCTCTCCTGGGTGGGGGGGACAGAAGCGTTTTGCCCTTTACAAGAGGGACAAGCCCAACCAAAACCCTATGTTCACTGAGTAAACACAAATAATAAATGAAAAAAAAATCTCATTTGTATTCTGTTACTGTTCACGTTTGACGCCGCTAGTTACTAATCTACATTTACATCAAGTCTTTCAGAGTGAATCATTCCCATCCTTATCTTGAAAAAAGATAATTTCATAGGTCTATTTTTACAAAGATACCAATGTCTACCATGCTATGAAATCACAATTATTAAGTGTCTTGAAATGCCCTAGTGTACCTCCCAGCCCTGCTGTTCTGCCGACTTCATTGAGAAATTCAGATACATGAAGATCGCGGCTCCCCAAAACAAGACACAACAGATGAGCAGACAGAGCAGAAAACACGTCTCATGTCTGGCTTCCAGGCCGGGCTGGGATGTGCGTGCTGTGTCAGCAGAGCAAGCATCCAAAGATGAAACAATAACTGCGAAACCGGTCGTTTACCTTCCACATTGTGCAGAGAGGTGAGCGACTCCTCGCTCTTGGCGGATCTCAGCGTACCCGTATCTCCTCTGCCGCCTGAATTGTGACGGAAACAAAACGAGGATGTTCAAAAGACATTTTTACAGTCAAAGGAAGAAAAAAACTGACCGAAAACTGAAACATGAACCAAGCCAGTAAGTGTGTTCTACGCCACGTTCTTCGTTAAGAACCACGAGAGAAGGAACTGTACCGGCAAGAGCCATGGCCTTGATCTCATTGGGCTCGCTGGGGTTGCGGTGGAGCTTGCGTTTGGCCATGGAGGAGGACTTGCCCAGGTTGAAGAAGGATCGCCAGCTGCCCACTGGAGATTTCTTTGCCTTGGCGGGAGGCCTCTTCCTGTGGTAGGAAGAGTTGGTAGAGAAGATTAGCAGCACTCGATTGGGGAAAAAAAGGCAACTTTCGCAGACCAAGGGTGGCTTAAGAAATAAAAGATGCTGTATGTACATTTTGGTGTGTGCCTATTTGCACACATACATCTTAGATAGATAAATACTGACAGTGGTATATTTTACACAGTGGAAATGATATATAATTCTCAGAAAATAGTATTTTATGCTTTTTTGCTCGATTACCCCAAGACACTTTCTCAGAAGCTGTTCCCCTACAACTGGAATTCTCAATCCTTCCCAGTTGTGCATCTATGCAACTCCAAATAACTATGTGTTTTGTAACAAGGAAATCTGAAAGGCAGTCATTTGTTCTACCTTTCTATTTTACAATTTCAAACTCAAACAGCTCAGAAATGACTTTCAATTCATGTAAGGCTTCCATATAATAAACACAGTGTGTTTTTTTGTTTTGTTTTAGGCTTCCCAGAAACTACCATAAAAGACAGAATACCAACATGCCAGCTGTTGCACAGTATGTTATGGCATTCTAAATTTTCTCAAAAAAAGACCGTTAGTGGTTGAGCATTTACTGCAGAAAAGTGCCCTCCTAATCAGTAATAAAAATTACAAGTCACCCTGGGATGATCAAGGAAATCTTACTAAATGAGATGATAATCTTGCACACTAATAAGCTTATTCATAAACCTAAATTAAAGGCACTTCATGTTTGTTTAGCTTGCTTTCACGAACTGCTATGAGAGCATTATAATTCTCGTTTGTTTCTCTCCTCTTTATAAAACACAGCAGAAGTCTGCAGGTGGAGGTTCAGGCTTGTCCCAGGAGGTTACCTCTCAGTGGGGAATTCTATGACAGTGTGGAATTTGCCCTGCAGAGCTGCTGGCCCTTCTCCCACTTCAATGTACTTGCTGTCGGCTGTGACAGGGGAGTTGATCTGGGCCTGGGTGCGAGCCTGGGCTTCCTCCAGTGTCAGCAGCTTAGTGGAGGGAGAGGAGACCAGCAGGGATTTGGGCCGAGACAGGGAGCTGTGGCCTGGACACCAGGAATGAGGACAATGGAGAACAAAAAAGGAAAGGGAGAGAAGGATTGTTTAACTTCAGGCACAGTTTTTTTTCCTCCCTCCAAAGTAACCACAAGCTAGCAACAAAGGCTACTCAAATGCTTCAACAAATGTTTTTCTTTTCACGACTAATCTTCTTGACAGTACAAGAGGAAAATGCAGTCTGATCAAACTGCAAACCTGGGCACTGGAGACAAGGTGGGGAAGGGGTTTATTTTGCTAGACTGGCATACGCCGTATTTCCATGGTGCAGATTCAGAATGAAAATGCTGCGTATGCTTGCAAAAGAAACAGGGAAGCAGCTGAAACCCAGAATTTACAGTCTCTCTCTCTGGCCAGACCTTTTTCTGCCTCTGCCATCGTGAAATGTTTTGTTAAAAGGTGTGTTTTGCATTAACAAAACAATACGAAGATGTTTTAATGTGTTTTAAATTCTCAACAGTTTTAAGCCCAGATGTAAAACTCAGCATCACTGTTCCTAAGTAACTGACAGTTCTCGTGTTCTGATAAGTGGGAGAAGCGTCCAAGTGTGTGGGCAGCAAAGGAACAGGCAAAACTGAACGCTGAAGAGGAAAAAGGAGAAACACTCCAGGTGTTGACCTTCCTTCAGGTGTCGCCTCTTCAGCGTGGGACTAGTCAAGGTTAACTCACCTGCTCCTTCTCGGATGAGCGAGCTCAGCTTGGGGCTGAAAAGCACGTCCACGTGGTTCAGAATGAATTCCACCACAACCGACTGGATCCGCACCTCCATGAAGGCGGCAGTGCCGCTGAAGCACGCCGACTCGATCTGCTTGGACCTGAACAACAGAGAAACACACACCCATACCGACATGGGTCAGTAACGGGGCAGTGGTCAATGAAAACTCCATAGCGCAAGTATGCAAAGCACTCCACTGGAATTCTTTTACAGCCCTACCAGCAGCATTAATGACACTCCACATAGTGCAACACTCCCATGTTTAAAACTATTCAAGGTACGAAATGACACTTCTGTCGACATAATCTTGTCTTCCTCTCATTTAAAAAGTAACTCATAAACCTCATCAACAAAAACAAAACCAGACAATTAACTGAATGGTTCCGGGGAAAGACAGTAGGTTCTGCATCTGTTTCACCAAGGGCAATCTTCCAGCAAGCCAACCAAGGCAGCAATAATGACGAGAAGAGAAGAAATTAATTGCTCTCACAGGGCCCCAGGCGCAAAGCACAGCCCGTGATACCTGAGTAGGTTGGGAGCCCAGACAATGGCCAGATTCTTGCTGTGCATGTTGGTGACGTAGCTGAAGGCAGCCAAATGGGACAAATGTCTCATCAGAAACTCCAAAGTCCTAGAAGGAAAAAAAAAGCATGGTATAATTTTAAGAATATACTCAAAAGTCATCATCATAATGGCTTCAGAAAACTCAATTCAATACCTATTTTGTTCTGGAATTACTTAATTTTTCAGATTTTTCTCCCCCCTTCCCTCTGGTCAGCGTTATAGGAGCATAAAGGATTGAACTTCCAGACTCAGAGACCAGTTTCTTCCCACAAGCTGTCAGATTACTGGACTCTACCCCTGCCACTGGCTCACATGTTTTGATGTTTTGTTTTTAAGTTGTATGTTAAGTATGTTATTTAACTTGTTGTTGCTGCCGCTGCTGTTCTGTGTTTATGTTTTTGGTATTTCCTTAACTTCTTTTTCCTTTAGCATTCATGCAAATAAGCATTTAACTGCACTTGTGCATATGACAATAAACTGAACTGTGCTTACACCAGCTGAGGGCACTTCGGCACCATGTTAGAATAGAAAATACTTTTATTTCACAGCCTGGAAGCGATTCATTCATGTCCATGTACTGTACCTTTCTAATCTGCTGATTTGCCACTAAACTTATTTATTAAAAAAGTAATTATGCGTGTATCACACTGGGGCCTGCTAAATCCTGTCAGAAATCTGTCAAAGCCTAGGAATGTAGGAGGTTTAGTTCTCGTGCAGTCTCCCCTGTTACCCAGCAGAGGGCAGGCACTGCTGGCTCTGACCTGTAATGGGGAGGAGGGAGCTGCTGGATGACATCATGGATTTTAATCAGTCGTTCCTCATCTGTGGCGGCTGACACGGCCTCCTGTGGGGGGACAACACGAGAGAAGGTTTAGAAACAAAGGTTAGCCCCCTTTGCATTCAGAGGAAATGCTCAGTGCACCTACTCCTCAGGCTCGTGGCACAAATTCATTTCAGGCAGGGATACCGGAGGGACCGCATTCAGACTGCGCTACCGAGCCAAAAGCAGAAAACCTCGGTGCAGTTTCTATGGCGACCAGTAAACAACAGCATGGACCTCGGCCCATTCCCTAACAGCCTTTTTCCCCGAATGTGGTAAAATCTCATCGAGTACGTTCTCAAAGCAGCACTGCTGGGACTTAAACTCATTGCCTGTGGCCCTATGGCTTCAAAACCAAAAGAAGGATACAATCAAAAGCTTTCTGGAGAGTTAGATTTCAAAAATAACTTCAGTGAGGAGACCCAATTCCTGAACCAAAATGATAGATGGCATTGCAATGACAAAATGACTAGCGGGGAGGACATTTAAAATTTAGAAGAGAAGGCATTTATTTACACAAAAGAGCTGTGGGAGTTTGGAACAAGCTACCCAGGCAACCAATATCAACACTTCTTCACTTTCTTTTTTCATCAACACCTGTTTTTTTTTGCAAATAAAGCCGACTTCAGAGTGAAATGAAACGCTTTAAGCTCCCTGCAAAGTGTTCTGCGGCAAAGAACTCTTTCCGCAAAGAGTCACCAGATGCCCGAGTACTTCTAACTGAATTACACAAAGCATTCCTGACACTGTTAAGAAGTTTCGCCATCAGAGGTCTTTTGGAATCGGCGGTCATTCGGCGAAAACATTCAAGAGTGAAGGCTTACGGAGAATTTCTCGTAGAGCTGGTAGGTGAGCAGGGGGTTGGGCAGCTCTCGGAAATACAGCTTGCACAGGGAGCCCACGCAGTGGATATCCTGGATGTACACATCCTTCGTCAGGTCTGGGATCTGCTCCGAGTCAAACTCGTGCCTGTTCAGCGAAGGGAATAGATCCCCCAAGTTCAATCTCTTACACCAGATTCATGCCCTTTAAGCTCCTGGTATTAAAAATGGCATCGAAAAAGGGGTCGTTGCACATGTGACATGTACTCCTGCATAGCAAGCAATAACTGTTATGTGTGTACGGTACATACTATGTATATACAGTGAGATGCATGAAATACACATGAATTCTACAGACTTATTCAGTCATTAGTGCGTTTTAAGTAATCTCCATGTCCCAATTAATGCTGAAGTATGCAATGCCACCTGCTTTTTAGATAGGTTTTACAAATCACCCAAACTATAAACTTTTCAATTTTTCATTTCAGGCAACATACAAGTGCATGGATATTTCCTACTGAACGAATCTTTTGTCAGCATGGGCAAAATTAGCTAAAAGGACAAAAAAAAAACATTGGGGGTAAAGCAGGTTATTGAAATGATTAAATCCATAACAAAAAAAGGCTTCCTTTCATTGGGGAAAAAAGAAGTACAGGTACCACCTTTCCCGGTGTCTGTAAAAGCTATAATTAAACCTGGAATGTCATCTCTGAGTAGAGATGACAGTTTTATTTTTCTAGATAGGAAAACAAAATGTTGGAATTCCACTGATAGGAACAGCAGGGATTTCTGAACAAGTCTCAACTAGTCTAAAATGTCTAGGTAGTGGAGACATTGATGCTGCATTCCACCAAACAGATGGTGCAGAATACAAACATACACCTCTTCACAGCACAAAAGTGAGTTTATGACTACAGTACATCTAAAAATTTATCTCAGTATGGATCTTAAGAAGAAAAAAAGACATGCCTCTAAACACTGTCTCCCAGGTACTTTGCAGATTTATGCATAAACAGAAGTAACATTTGGTGTATAAATGGCATGACCCAGGCAAGTTTTCTACAATGGTTTAGCAGACATACAGTACATGTAGGCAAACAGGTTAAAAAAGGCAATGTAAGTGGATACTATAAACTGTATGTCACAGGACCCACTACATATTTTCTTAAAATGTATTTTTAAAGTTTTATACCTTCACCACACCACTTTGTCCTGCCCTGCTTCTGGGGTTACGTTTTTTGTCCTGCCTGGAAGAAACTACCTTTTTTTTGCTTTGTGTCATTTCCTGGTATTCTGCCTTTCACTGCTGGACCAATAAGAGGAATTCCCTCCCGTTTTAAAATCTAAACCCCACCCAGGGTAAGGTCTGAACGCAGGCCAATCTCCTCAAGAGCTGGGCAGAATTCTCGGGGTAAAGACATGATGGGTGTTGCAACAGCCCAAGACTTATGTCTCCATCTTTCAAGGACCACAGCTTAAAACCCCTGCATCACAGCAGTGGGAACCCTCTGCATACAGATCCCAGAAGCAATAATAATATGACATTTCATCTGGTCACTGAAATGTTCCTCCCCTGTAACCAAAAATTAGGAACACATGATGGATTCTGGAATGAGCATCACATATCAGGAACGCAATACATACATAAAATTACAAGATGAAAATCCTTTCAGTGCACTGCTCGTCTTGCACGGCAAATTTCTATTACAGTGTTTACCCTTCCCCCCTCTGTCTCCTACCGTAATTTCTGAATGTTGGAAGCAATTCCAGAGAGCCGATACATTCCATCCACCACCCCATGCTTCTCGATGAACTCTGTGCAACTCTTGAGGACCTGAGGGACTGGAGGGCACAGAAAGGACACTTAGAAGAGCAGCCAGAGTACCTGATGCTGCAAGATTGGAATAACCTACAATGTAGAACTTGAGGAGTACATGAGCAACATTACCCATTAACAGCAAAGAATACAGTGGAAGTTACTTCAACAAAATAACTGCCAAAATAAATCCCCCATATATTAAATTCATCACCTTCTAAACAGTAGGTTGTGACTTATTACTAATTCATCAATGTAAGCCATACCTACAGAGCATATATCTGAAATGTATTACTGTACATGCAGTACAGTATAAAAGGTAATTAAGTACAGAGAAAGTCTTTATCATGCAATTGGCTTGATCTGTTAACTTGTGTAAACTTTAACCTTCAAAGCATATTTAAAATTTGAACACCTTGTTCATTAGAAAAAATAAAAAGGTCTTCTGCATTCTTGGTATTTGTAATTGTTTAATCCAGTCACAACCAGATGAAAGCTGTCCCACAATGAATGCTGACTTCTCTAATCTTTTATGAAGGTATTTTTCCATTCCAGAAATAAATAAAAATAGGCTAAAGGGAAATGTGTATCTACTGAATCTGTATTGGTGTACTTTGCGGAAAACAATCTCCAGAGGAGCTCTGGAACACCGTTTCTGCTTCAGCAGATCTCATGCTGGAACCAGCAGATTCCAGCGACGACAAGAGATTACAACAGTCTTCAAAACAGGTCCTATTCCATCAAGATTCCATCAACCATTCAAATATTTTCAATACAAATACATTTCATCCCTTTTAGCTTTTTTTAAAACATTTTAGATTTCAGAACTGTTAAGGAAATTACAGCACTGTTTTTTACAGGTTGTTGCCTATCACTGACCTTACTCCTAATAATACTCCGCTGTGCAGCCATCTAAACATTTGATTTCCAATGCTACACAAAAAAAAAGTATTAAAACAAACTCCAAATACACAATTAAAAAAATTGACATAATCGTTATCCAAATGAATTGTCATATGGTCTGAACTCAACTGTCTGGTCTAGTTTGTGTTCTAACCAAATTGTATGGACATGTCAAGAAAATGTAATTGCTCTAGTTCACATTTCAGATTCTATTTAAATTCGCTTCATATAAACATAAAGCCAATATCTGAACTCCTGACTTTCATATTTTTAATCTGCAAATTCCCTGTAATGTTAAATCTACATCTACAAGCTTCCTTCAAGAGAGACAGCTTCGGAGGGTCAGGTACTATGAATGCAACTCTGCTCTGAACTGAATGCTCTCTCCTCGAGTACATATGTCAGAGATAAGAACCTCCATACAGAAGCAGAGTCAACCCTCCCAGTAACTAGACCATCACACACGCAAAACGGTTCCACCAAATACCAAACATACCAGGAAAGGCAGCTTAGGCTGGGGCCCCTTTATATTTTGAAACAAAGAAATCCAACATGTCACGGAAGAATGGAGATAAGAAATTGGGAATCCTCAGGCTAGCTTGGTTTATATAAACTCTTCTCACTCGCCACTAAAAATCCTGATCTGCACCCGGCATTTCGTTTGCCGGTTTGGTTCAACAAGGGTTCTGAGAAGTTTCCACAATTTAAGATCTCAGGCCTTTTCCCACAACAAATCAGAATTGCAGCTCAGAACTGATATCTCGATATTCCGATGTTCTATATATTAAATCTAAACATTAAGATTTTGAATCATTGACACACAGCACACACACGCAGAGGAAAATCAAACTTTTAGAAACAGGCAACTTTAAAACATCCAGCTAAAGGAAATACGAAAATCTGTTCACTATGTGAGTTCACAAGTTACATGATACTGGACGGACTTATGGCATCATACCTGTACCACAATGTGTCACCAAGCGCAGGAGGCCCCACCCCTAACATACACATCACGTGCCTGCCAGGAAGAAAAGCGCTCTCACGACTGACTCTCAATAGCCTGTACCTGCTGACATCCAGGAAGGAGGTACACTGGAACAACACAGTCCATTGCACTAGCTTGAGGAAACCATTCAAAGCAGCTGGGAATGGTAAATGTATATGCCTAAGCAGAATGGATGATTATGATTAATGCAGTACTACAAAAATTGTACACAATGGTAAAAATAAAATGCTGCTACAACACTGGCAGATGCTTAATGTACTATTCATTGTCTAACTGAAGTCAGCAAGAGAACTTTCACGTGAAAGGCATGACTCTATAAGGTTGTATGTGGACCTTCATCAGAGCCCTGTTTATTAGCTTTAAAGCCCACTAAGTTACATTGCAGTAAGTATTGCAGGTATGCTTGATCGACCTTCATTGAGCTACAGTATTTGTAGGTCACAGACTGCTGCAATTACAACACTAAGTATAAGCACTGACCCACTGGAAATACTGTGCTCCACTGGCTGAGAAATGAGATGTCCGGGATCTTCCTACAACCAGTTCCTGCAATAACTTCTCCGGAGCTAAAGAACAGGATTGACCTGTGTTTCAACAACTCACCACTGTCTGGGTGTGAAAAGCTGCTCTGGCCAAGCCTTATCTATTTGCTGCAGAATACCCTGCTCTTATCACCCACAGCAGTTTTTCTTAACCTTTCCTGCAGCCTGAACCCTCTGGTTCCCATAATCTGCTCTCACACCCTAATCAAAAAATCACTGAAGTATAGTACATCATATCTTTTAAACTAAGATATATCATGAATAAATATGTCTCTTTCATTCTATGGTTATTTCAATTTAGCAGTAAAATTAAGCATTCTTAAAAAAACACTTTTTTTTTTAGAATTGTATATTTTAAATTCCCAGTAAATAAAGATCACGTGAATAATTCTAAAATTATTTTCCCAGAAAGGGCATCTTGTACCCCCAGGGGTGTGTGCACTCCAGGTTAAGAACCACTGCTCTAGAGAATACCTACTGTTGCATCAGTTGCATCCTGTGTAAGACCCATAGAATGATCTCAGTACCTGCTTCAGTTCCCAGAGTTAAAGCCCACAATTTCTGTGTTGCACCATAATATGAAGGATGATCATAATCAAGTATTTTTATATTTATATGTGATTATATGCAATTGAACTGACTGAAAGGTGTTATGGGTGTTATGTGTTCACTCAGGGTCCCTTTATGTATCACTAGGGCCTACGTGAAGCTCTGATAACATTCAGTGGTGGAAACATGCAGAAATTCAGAAAATCTGAAGGGGGGGTGAATACTTTTTCCACAAACTATACAAGTGATGTGGCATCTGTGTGGTTTATTGGCTCCGTGTCCAGTGACGACATCTTCCTTGCATCTCATAAAAACTGCCATGTTCAAAAACAAACCAAATAAAGGGGCCAGAACATTTTAAATCCCTAGATTTCTCTCAACATACGTAACTATTAATTACTGCTCATATGGGAAACTAAATAACTTACAACATTCCTGTGCTTTGGCACTACAAAACCACAGGGCAGCAAATCCCACAAGTGAACAATTTGATGTTCTGTAAGAGCCCAGCCTTGATGGGATACTGACACAAACACATTATGTTGTGGAAACTCCAAGCTGGCAGTGTATAAAAGTTATTTAGAAAAGACAGGGAGAAGGGGGAGGTCAGGGCGTAGCTCAGAGGGAATTAGAAGACACTCAGAGTGGTTAAAATGGAGGGCTGTCTCTGCTCAAGGATCCATGGAAGGGAAATCTTCAAATACAGCTTTCCAATGTGTGCTAATCATCCCACCTAACCTTTAAACCTTTTAAGCTCATTTGTCGCCATGGTGACGCTGGAGGGCTCTTAGGGAACTCTACCAGCTTCAGCTGTGGGGGTGGTCCCAGGCCGGGCTAAACCATCATCACCCCCCTCTCCACCTGCAGCAGAAAGCAGCCTGTGTCAGCTAAGGAGGTGAAGTGGGCTTTATTCAGTGCTTTTGGCTTCACAAATAATCAAAGAACTGACTTTACTAAAAATCAATTATAGCTGTAATTTAAATCTCTATATCTACAAAATATTTAAACGTTCCCCAGTGCTTCAGGCATTTGGTTGGTAGTAGGCATTTTGTAACTAATCCATAAACAACCTAATACTAATTATTCGAAACAGGAAAAAGTGAAACGCGCAGCACAAGGACTACAACGGGGTTACCAAATATTATATACATGTTCTTTCAGCAAAGGGGGCGGGTGAGGTTGTTATTGAGTATCAAAGCTGTTATGCTGAAGCCAAATGCATGCGTCAACAAAAAGCGTTTTGTCTTCATCAGGGAGACGTCATGTGTGAGGTGTGTACTGTGACAAGTAACGTGAAATAAAGGTTTTAATGAGCACAGTTCCTCTTTTATACACAACCACACGCTGTTCAATTGAGCAGCTGCTAATTACAAAATAATTCAGGGAACACATTGAGAGAAAAGGCCCTGCATGTGTTAACAGAAGGCCCAGAATGTTAAGTACTCCTAACCCAGATTAGCACTTCAGTGGAACAAGTAGAAAACAAGGAATGAGCAGCAAGAGTGTGTGCAAAGTGGAATAAGGCAAGCACTTAGAAATCAGTTCAAAATCTTGTATGAAAAAAGCCTGCAAAAACACTGTAATCTAGAGATGATTAATTTGAGCATTTCTTAGCGGTGACTGTTACACAGTTTCTCCTTCTCTGTCTATTTATATCACAGCTCAGTATTCACTACATTCCATATGGTTAAAGGATCACCACAAAGCAATTTTATTTCATTGGGTGCTAATTCAGCATCCCAATGCATTCATTGGTCTACTTATTCTTTACAAATAAGAACACTTGAAACAAATAAGATTGCTTTCTGCCCCCTTCTCCTCTGTGGTATGTGTGACAATTATACATTAGAAACAAAAAATATTATGTTTTTTTTTATTTCAGAAACTATATGTCACAACTGAATGCCACAAGAGATACGAGCACATTCTCTTCACGTCACAGAGGACTTTAAAAAGCAAGAGAAACTGTCACATGAGCCATAATTCACAGTTTGTGTTTTCGCTGCTAGCCCTGAGGATATACAGGGGCAGTACCAACAAGGGCCATTTCACACAAAGTACAAGAACGGAAAATCGAAAAATGCTTCGTTTCTACTTTTCTGAAGTGACCCCCAACACCTGGGTAAAGTATGAAAACGGGATATGCTCTCAGTATCGATTAGGGGAGCTCTCTTTCTCTCCGTTTTGCTTTGCCGAGATCCCACTGAGAGCTCGGAGCTGGGATATCGCGTAGGCTGAAACGCCATGTTACAGCTATGTCATGGCAACAGGGAAAAAGACGTCAGATCAGAAGCTCTGGCCAGCCTCCACTTTTCTCCCTGTTGTGGTGCACATTTACACATTCGCCACAGCCAGAGGAACTGGGCAGAACTGGGCCAGGTGGAAGTGCTGGTGAAGAAGCAGAAGGCCTCAAAAGCAGCTGAACCTGTTATTCGGGTTAAAACCGAAAAGAGAAACCTGTCCCAATTTCCTCCCTGGCAAACCCGTGGAGACCGGTATGTGTAAAAATATGTATTCATGATGGTCAACTCAAATGATGCTCATAAACACTCAACTAACCCCTTCTCCCTCCCCGCATGGCGAAGTGACGCAGTGCGTTATTGACACTGAACAAAACTTGCGCTAAAACAGCTGAGTGTGCCAACAGCCGACAACAGCGTCCAGTTGGGTGAATTATTGTTCCTAATTAGTCCACTGACAGACATCAACCCCTCTGCTTTGCCTCTGCGGCACACGCGAACAGAAATGACTCATTTTCCAATAAAAAGCTCTTACGCCAGAAAACTCAGCCAGTCCTACTTTTCCAGTAGATTTCCAGTTCCGGGTTTTGTGACTTCAATTTAAGTCTCAGAGTTTCTAGCTTCAGCGACTTGTTAAGGACTTCGATTAAGCCCAACAAAACAAAACCACACACACAAGCCTGCATAGAGGGCGGCGACGTCGGCTCTGCGGCCCGGACGGCGGCCCTCTGCGTTCTTTCGGCGGGTTAGCGGCTGTGACAGCGCCGGGCAGCTCACCGTCATGGCCGGAGTTGAGGAGGTGTTCGCCCAGGTCGCAGCCGAACACCCGCTCCCTCAGGATCCCGCGCTGCTTCAGCTTCTGCTTGGTGGGGCGGGACTTCATGAAGCTGCGCAGGAACGTGATGAGCTTGCCGTGCTTCTTGGACACTGTTCGGGGGGGGGGAGAGGGCAACACAAGCAACAACACAGGGGCAGGTCAGAGCAGAACCAGGGGACAGAGGGGCCTCAGAGAACCGAGAAAAAAGCAAGCCGACAAGACTTCCAAAATGTGGAATCGTAAAACACGTTGCTGCAACCTGAAAGATGGCTCATCCTTGCCATCCAGATCAAAACCACATCCGGCTACTTACCTTACACCTAGCAGTGATCGATTTCCAAATGCCCAACAAACTACTGTGTCATTTACGGAATGCTAACATCCGTAGTATGATGAAATATCAGGAGGATTCATCCACTTCAAGTTTGGAAATGAGCAATGAAATAAATTCTCCTGCAGGGTTCCAGTAGCACCGAGAAAAAAAACACAACTCTCCTACAGAGCTGCAGATTTCACTTCACTTCGCCCTTTTGGTTCCAACCTGAGACTCGCCAAACTGTGCCTCAAACATTTGACATATGACCTCAAACTTCAAACGGAGATCAAGAATAATTACGTTATAGCACAGGCTGGGTAAAAAAAAAAGCAAACAACCTGAAGCAAAAAGAAAGATCTCGCACTTGCATGAGATGTAATGTAAATACGAGGAAGAATCCACTTTGTGTCAAGTTCATGAGGGTTAGCCGCAAACCTGCCAGAATGCGTGTGAGCTCAGGAGAAAGAAAGTGGTTTGCTGATCAACTTTCTTCCCTCTGGCTATAAGAGTAATTTTTCAAAATCCTCCACTTTATATTGAAATGCTTATAGAAAATCCATATTTGCATAAATAGAATGGGGAAAGTCTCTTCATTGGAGCAACAGCAGTTTTTCCACCCAGCCACACCAGTCATTACTGAGCAGAAACTGAATATTCCCTGAAGATAGATGAAAACACGTATTCCCTCATTCCCCTCATGAAACAATATACAACTTTATCACTCTGCATTAAATGAAACTCACAAAATTCAATATTTTCACCAGTTCCTTTACCTCAGAATTACCATCAGAGAAATGTGCATGTCTGTAGGTTTCTATTACTCTGTGATGAATGGTGTTCTCATTCTTGGTGATCTAAGTCTTGAGGATAAGCTTGCTTGCTAATATTTAATGGGTTATGCTTCATTTTTAAAATTTTAATTAGGGTGATGCTCATGTTGTGCCAACTGTACTATACATAAAAAAGTTAACGATCATACTCAAACTTAAGAGTAAAGCCAAATGTTACTTAACACTCTTACAAAACACACTTGAATAAAAATTAAATTAAGCTGGCAGCGCTAACATAATGTGAAAAAATATTTTCAAATTTGTCATATTACAGTTTCTTATAATTCATGAAGAACAGTCACCCACGGTTCTTTATAAGAAAATTGTACGAGAGAACAAACACAAAAAACCCACCAGATTTTGGGGTCTTTAGTTATCCATATTACAGTACTCCACACACTGCCCAGCACACATCTGTCTTTCAATATACTAACTAAACACAGTAAGAAAATCTGCGTGTTATAGCATACCCTGAGACATCTATATAGTTGGTTTGCAGCAACCCAACAATTTCAATAACCAAAATGCTGACGCATTAAAAACTCTAAAACAAAAGCAGCATATAACATTTTTCAGGCTTGTCCCTGAGCTCACAGCACTTGCAGTCTGGGGCTGGTACTGATGCAGATATGCTACTTGAACGGCTGAACGCACGACAGATACAGATTTCAGACTTTCTTTGGAGGACTTTCTGAACTTTCAGGTCAGTAGAAACAGGTCCCCAGCAGTAAGGAGCAGTGTGCAGAGACCAGCAGCAGATCCAGCAAAGTCTCAGCCACACCAAGTCTCAGATTGCAGGAACACCAGGATTAACTGTTCAAACCATCTTCCGGAATGATTTTAAAACAATCAACCTGTAATCATTTCCATACATTTAACTGAGCAATATTACACTGTTAGTTAAATGCTTTATTGTACAAAAAGCCCAATACACATTCAAATAGGGTCATGCAATCTAGCTCTTTTTGAATACCATACACCCCATACAGAAGCTGCACCCAGCCTCTCCTTGTTCCATTGAAAAATTCACAAACCGAACTTACTTCAAACGGCTACAGAGGATGCTGATTGCGTATTCTGCAGGCGCTGGATGCTTTCTCAAAAGCTGTTAGTATGACTATATTATTTCATTTGATTAAAAAAACTGTTGAAAAGAAGAAGAGTTTTATTCCAGTTTTTTTTTTTATGGCACAGATGCTTGTTGTAGCAGAGGGCTGACAGCAGCACCAGCAATGCAAATGAAAACCAGCAGCCCCTCCCTGGAATTTGCATGTGGAGTACTTGGATTCAGGGAAAGGGAAGCAGTTCAAAAGATGGCAGCAAAGTGTAGCCTGTGAGTCTGAAGTAACAAATCCATTATAGTCACTTTTCCCAACACTCCGAACCTTCTAGCAGTACATGCAGGTCTGCAATAGAATTGTTGGAAAAAACCCAAAGCAAATGACTCATCCTGCACCTAATTGTTTTGCATGTGCATGCTTCTTGGTTTGGTCAAATTAAATGGGAACGACAGTAAAATATCACATGACAAATCAAAAACTCCCACTGTAGAAAATAGGCATTGGGAAGCTTGACTCATATGTTGCTATAAGAATGCGAACGCTGGAGATTTTCTAATCGTACAGATCACTTCTGTCACAGGAGGCCCAGAGGGGGAAATTAAATATCTAGTCTCCATACTGCATCAATGGATCCTCTTGTTTGTGTGTGTGTGTGTGTGTGTGTGTGTGTGTGGTGCTTCACATTTAACAAAATGTTCTGAAACGCTTTCATGGTTCTACAGACACAGAAGGTTTCCCTTCTTATCTGAAGGAACAAATTCCATAACTTTTGATAACCCTTAAGTGAAGAGCTTGATTTCATCTAAAGCCAGGTAACATGCAGTATATTGAATTATAGTGATTCACCTATCTGAGAACAGATAGGTCTACTTTCTGTGCACCATTTTCTTCAGCTTATTGTATGATTTAGAGTCATTCACATTAAGCCAAACTGCATATCACAATCACCTATGCCTACATTTTGTAACAGCACTTAAGAGACAGGAAATACTAAAAGTAAGGGAGGGTTCAAAGCGAAGTGGCCGCTCTTAGCTCTGACAGGTTATTGGGCACAATTACCTACAGGTACGGGCTCCAGTCAAGAATGAACAGCCGTTAAGACCTCTCTACACAGAACCTTGGACTGTGTTGCAAGTACATATGGCAGGCACTGATTAAATGCAAAGAAAATCCCCCGAACTATACCTACTGCAATGGTTAAGCGCTATTTTTCTAGTCTTTTTTAAGACCATTGTGACACTGGAAATCCGATATGTTTCCTTTTTTGTGTCACAGATCAGATAACCTCTGATGCCTGTGCTACATTTTCTCTTGTAAAAAAAAGGGGGAAGTTTCTACCAGAGCCACTTTGGCTCCTGGTCCACAGAATATCCTGGTCTCCGTAGCTTTGAGCAGACCAGAGTGCATGTGATTTAACCCCTCTCCCATCCCCCAGATGGGACATTGGTCCATCACAAGGATTACTCCCAAACAAGACTGTTGCCCCTGATACAGCTGAGAGGACCAGATCAACTGAGGTAAAGTAGCTCAGTCAAGCTACAACAGCAGGGACATTAACCCACAACCTGTCATTCATGAATCCTGAGGCTTACCCACTACACCACCCCCAGTTCTTTACTTAGAGGTCTCAATATAAATAAGAGCCATCCATTGAGCCCAGTGCAGCAGGAGCACTATTTAATTCACTTTTACTTGACTGTGTTTTTCTTATTTCAAAAACTGCAGTAATGATCAGGGAAGCCTGTGTTCCAGTAAAAAAAAAAAAGAAAGAGGGAAGTGTGACATTTTGTAAAGAAAGAAAAACTTCTACATTATCCAAGTCATTACAGCTGTTGCTGGAGAACAGAGTTTTGAGACAAGGCCAATGCAGATTAATAACCTGGAGCTCTTAAACAGAGCTATCAAAACTGTTGTGATTTCCATGTCTGAAGCAACAGACTGTGTGAAAGATGATGTAATGGCAACACCACCAAGTATAATTTCAACTATCACACTTCATTATGAAACAACTGCAGATCATCTGATACTTTTAACCTTTTCTTCTCTATTGCTTAAAGCTGGTAAGACTATGTGAGCACAGTCTTAAAGGTTCTTAGTACTTCTTTGCAAACAACAGAACATTAGGTGAAATCACGACACCTCCCCTAACCTTAAAATTACTAATTGGGTACTTTTGAAAAACAGAATTTGCCTTCAAATTGATGAGTTAGACAATAACTCTGATTTTGTCTTGCTTTAGATTAAAATACACAATCCTTCCTTTCATGTGAAAACAAACTAGATTTAAAGGATTCATACTGTTACATTATAATTCTGTCTGCTCAACACGAGAAAAAAAAGACATGCATAATCATGTCAAAAACTCAAGTGCAGCATCTGTTTGCCACATATCAGAACATAAATCTATACTTAACTGACAAAACATGCTTTGTTCTGGTACTGGAACCACAATCCATGTGTCCCGAGAGCCAGTCACTTTGAACAGTCTTAAGAAACTTAAGTCTAATCTTCCTGAATCTCAGCCACATTTTCTTCCAGTCACAGGAACAGTTACTTGAAATTTGGAAATGTCTGTTGCAGTCAAATAAAAGAAGAGCACTCTGCAGAACGAATTAAGTTTTCATTGACTAGGCCAGAATTCCCGAGGAAGCTGGAGTTGACGTTCTGCTACACTATGGTTAGAAATGCACATAAGGATAGGTCGAGGTTCAAAGTGATCATAAGTAAACCCAACTTTTAAGGCATCTCATCCACTTTGTTTAGAAACAACAATTCCACAATCATAGCTAAACATGGTGAATTTTAAAGCCATAACATGTCTGACTTCAAGTAAAGATATAATTTATCCCCTTGTCATTCACACAAGAGCAATTCTGTTACTTTTTGCGTAACTCTTTATTTCC